GTTTGTAGTTTTTCGAAAAGAAATTTTGGAGAATATTTTTCTCGTTCAATATCTCACACATGTTTTTCAAGCATATCAATATTTGAAACAAAACATATCTTTGAGACATCTTTACGTTACATTTTTGAGACATCTTCCTGTTGAATGAGATCCAGTTTTTGCCTAGTATTCTGAGAACGGTTTACCTTCCAGTATCTGATGTCATTGATGATATGAATCGTTTCTACAAAAACAACACACTACTGATAACACTCTATATACTCACACATACACACAACATATAATAGAAACAAAACATGTAACAATCTCAGAAGAATAAAAAAACGCAGGAAACACACACAACATATAATTGATGATATCAAAAAAATTGGAACGTTCATATTTATTGAAAATTCAGTAACGGCAAATCTTGGTTTTCACTAAAAAAGTTTTACAAAAACCGCTACCCGTGTTTCGCTATACAATAGCTTTATAAAGCATAAACTGCTTGTTTATGCTAACCGTGTCGCGGTTTTTGTAAAACTCAGTGATAATCATACAATAAACTGTATTGATTAGTTTTTCAATATGGATTTTCATCAAGTATCGGTCAGTTCTATTCAAAACCTTGGTTTAACAAAAATTGCCAGCAAGCTGTCGTCTCTAAAAATCTCGTCTATGGGCAGTGGCGCAAAAATTCCAGTGCCGAAAACCGAACCAGGTTTGTTAATGCTCGCAACAGCTGCAAACTTAGGATAAATGGATGCGAATAACTTCAGAATCAGAGAATTGAGGATAAACTGTTTGCCAATCCCAACGGGTCTAGATCCTTGTGGTCGGTAGCTAAAGCTGTTAACCATAACTTTAAAAAATCCACAAGTCCAACACAAACACAAGCGGATGGTTCAATTGCAACAACAGACATAAAAAAAGCAAATCTACTAACTGAACAATTTGCGACCCACTCCACAGTCGAAATTCTGGGAAAGGCTATTGCCACACTAGAATCCACAATGTCGGAAATTATTTTTCGTCAGTGTCTAGCCAGGCGAATTTTGAAACAGCTCAATATCAACAAGGCGTCTGGCCCTGATAAAGTGCACGTCATCGTACTTAAAAAGTATGCAAATGAACTCGCACCAGTATTTTGCAGAAATTTCAACTTGTCTTACAAGAAAAGAGTTTTTCCTTCTTGTTGGAAGATTGCTGGCGTTCAACCCATTCCTAAAAAGGGCAAGAAAAGTCTTCCAAATAACTATAGACCAGTCACTTTGCTATCAGTAATATCAACAATCATGTAGAAAGCTCTAAGCCACCATATCCTCAAATATTTGGAAAGCTTCAACATTCAACTTCGATGCTATGGATTGTTGGATCATTTCTGTGTATGGCTCTTCAGCTTCCTGAAAGAACGTTTCCTGCAAGTGGCCGTCGATGGATATATCTCGAATATTTTCACCATCAACGCTGGTGTTCCCCAGGGATCCATATTGTCTCCAACCCTATTTTTATTCCAATATTTTGCTTTGCTAGTGACAGTACACTTGTCTCGTTATTCCATTTGGATTTCAGGACATCGGCTATGTTGGTACATCTTCACCAGCAGCAGAAGGTTGCATATCTTAATGAGGATCTAGAAGTGATTTCGAATTGGGGTTAGAGTAACCAGGTTCAATTCAATGCCACATAAACCCAGGTTTTCTCCAGGAAGATAAATGTCTCCCAATCAGATATAATAATGTCAGGTCAGAAAATTCCGCTTTCTACTTCGATAAGCTTGTTGGGGGTTAAAATGGACACCAATATGTCTTGGCACAAACATGTCGCTTGAATTACAAAGACGGCCTCTCAAAAGTTCGAAATACGCTTGTAACACTGTTCCGAACCGAAAAACTGACACACCTCAGCAACTTTTGATGCTTTTTAACACTCAGATCAGACCTGCTTTGGAGAATTTTTTTCATGTATGGAGCTCTGGCCCGAAACATACCCTGAAGTTGCTGGATTCCATCCAGCAATGCGTGTTGTCCGTGTCAAAGTTTGCATTATGTTTGATTCTAGGAACTTCAACTTCTTCATGTTCAAGTAATACTTTATTATGAGATTTTCACTGGACAGCAACATGTGTTCCGCTATACAATAGCTTTCCCAAGTTGTTTTATTACTGACTAATTATTCCACTTAATTGTGCTTTATATAATAACAGTTTGTATCATACTAACTTCTCCTTAAATAATGATCAATGATTTTATTTTACCTGAGTTGAGGTAAAATATAATTATTCTTTTTAATATCATAAAATAAAATTTTTACTAACCTATTAAAAGGATATGTAATAAACTAACTCCAATTTGCCGTTTATATAATTATATTTTGAATTATATGAACTCAAACCTACTTAATGACTAATAATTAATTATACATGATTGTAGTAAAAACTAATCAAAATTTTGAACATCACAGCAGAATATTTTTTGTCAAACTCATTAAATTGACTTATTTCCCGCTCAGAAAACAGATTTAGAAAGATGAAGAATTCAATTCTATCTGATCATTTAGTGGATCTTCAAAATTATTTGGAAAAGTAGAATTGGTCTTCACATTCAAGAAACTACTATGTTCTTTGATTCTTTGTGAAAAGATCCTTCCTGTTTGACCAATATGTATAAAGTTTTGGGCAAGGACCACAAATCAACTTATATACTTCTGATTGCTCAATTTATTTTCAGTACTGTTTCCGTTTCAGTTCAGTTCTGCATATAAACGAACTAAGCATATAATTTCAGGTCCTGATGTGAATTTAGTTCGAATAACGAATTTTATTCTACATTCAAATGATGAATTTACGTGGTAGAAAATATTCTTTTGAGTTTTTGCAAATATACATTGCATTTTCTGTCAGTTTATTCTCTATAGCTCTGTTATATAGGAGGTGATTAAGAATGAAACATGGCAATAATACATACTTGGAAATCCACGTGTTCTTATAATTTTCGAATGCTCTTTTTAATTTTACAAAAATATGTTTGATCTTGATAGAAACATAATGATAACGGACAACTTTTATATTAACGAATGTAGAGAATTTCAATAATTGTTCTTATCAGTAACAACAGAATAACGAAGAATAACGTACTATCACCTTCGAAATATCATAATGGCTTTAATGCTATATATCAGTAATATTTCGTATTGAATAATTTTGTATATCAAAAAATTAGTCAAGAAATTAAGCATATACTTAACGTTTCAGAGACCAAAATTTGCCTCCGTATCCAGAATTGGAGTCTACTATTTTTTTGTTAGGCAGAATTACGGAATACGATAAGTTTCAGATGAACAGAACATTTATTTTGTGAAAAATACTTTGAATTTACGCAGTAAATTCTGAAAATTCCGGACCTGCACGTTAAGGAGGTTGCGTTAATGGCCATGTTACGATTGCGCACAGCTGGAGTAATACTCGAAGAAGGAAGGGGTTAATTGAGGCAGAGCCTATGGCGAGAAGCCTCAACCTCTGCTGCAGGCAACCAGTGATGCAATTGAACCCAGGTTTGTGTTTAATAAACCCTACAAAATACAAATGAAACAGAACACAGAGTCAGATGCTACAAATACAATACGCATATACACAGACGGCTCAAAAACCAAAGAAGGCTCAGGATATTGAGTGTACTCCAGATCACTAAGCCTAAGGGTTAAGTGGGGAATGGGAAAAATACCGGCGTGGTTCAAAAAGAACTGGCTGGTATCTCAATCGCCACAAAAGAAATGACCACGAAAGGAATTTCTGGCAAAAACATAACAATATGCACTGATAGCAGATAATCCTTATTAGCCTTGAACAGACAACGTTTTACCTCAGGGCTAGTACTAAAGTGCCACCAAGATTTATCCAGAGCCTTGGTAGATAATAACATTATCCTGAGGTGGGTTAAAGGGCACGACAGGAGTAAAGATAATCGCATTGCCGACTCGTTAACCAAGGAAGCAGCTGTACTAAGAATTTTAGGACCCAGTGGCACCTACGACCTGATGACTTCGACAATTAAGGAAGCTGCCAAACGTCACATCCATGTTCAATCCCTAAAGAGATGGGATGAAATCAAAGAAAGAAATCTTGCCAGGATCACCCTGGACGACCCTGGGTAGCTGTCGCCGAAGAAATATCTGGCGATGACCAGGAAAAATCTACGCTTAACAGTAGGATTTCTGACTGGCCACTGTCAACTAAGGAAACACCTCCATAATATGGGGCTAGTAGACACACCTCTATGCATGATATGTGAACAGGATGATGAAACTGTCAGGCATGTCCTATGCGAGGATCCGGAGTTATCGTTAATACGAGGGTGTGTGTTCGGCGAGTCTTAGTCTACACCTGCCGTTATAAAGGAGATGTCTCCTAGTTACCTGTCCACTTTCCTGGAAAGGAAAGGATGGACGATGACCTAGGAGGACAACTCCTCGGGAGGATGTTCAATGGGTCACATGTGGCCTAAGTGCTGTTGGCCTACACTTACCCTACAGATACAGAGACAGATACACAGTAACTCATCGGATGAACTTGAAGGTTTGCTTTCAGTAAATAGATTGATGTAGCTGTTACTACATGGTAGGAGGTCACAATGAAAAATGAGAAATGAATGTTTTTACCACAATTATTTGTAAGTATCCTTACTGCAGTTTCATCCTATATGGACATTTTCAAACCAATACAATAAAACTTTGTTGCAAATAAAAGTAGTAAAAAACATAGAAAGTTTCATTTCTCATTTTTCATTAAAAGTTTTCATTGAAAGTCTACATGTATATAAAGTTCCCCATCACAATTTTAATATTTATCAGACCGTGGAACGTGATAATTTAAAACGGAGGTCGATAACAAACTCTGATTTCCTCCACAAAAAAATGACTTTTGTTCAATTTATGAGGTGAACTGATTTATCAACTGGACTAGCTGGAAGATTGAAATTCTACCTTGTAGGCACTAAAATAAAACTTGAGAAAGAAAGATATCAGAAGACATGAAAAATGTATTAGGAAGATATCTGGTATCCCCATTTTTTGTAACAAGTGACACGAAACCATGTTCCGATTCAATTCCGGAAAAACAACGTTATTTATTCACAGTTTGCAAAATAACTCTGGATTAACACTCATTTCACGAAAAGAAAAAATATATAGTAATATTTCGTCGTCAGATAGATTTATCACAGTGTTGCTGAAAGTTCCAGAGTCAACAGAATATCTATAGACAGGTACACACTGAGGTCTTTTTCACTTTTAAGAAATTTTTATCGAACAAGGCGGCGGATATTGCCATCTGAAAGGTGGCATCAATGAAACTCATCGTTTTTGAAGAGTTTTCAATGAAACCGTTAGCATTTATATCTCTGGCAAGCATTTCTCCTTCTTCAGCTGCTATATGTGATCTCTTGTTTTCTCTCAGATCCGTTTTGGTTCCTGAAAATTACAATGAATAAATATAAGATATAAGCAATGCATTTTTTCAGTTTTTCATGGGTACATATACATAGGCAAGGTGGCGAATAGTTCAGATGAAGGTTCGGAATGAGTAAATAGGTAAATTATGTCATTATTGTAACAGAAATGTAAAAAAAACATAGATCGTGTCGGAAAAGAACAAAGTGTTATCACCCAGTCATCACCCGAAGACGATTGTGGATACTAACAATCGAAACGTCGTGTATCCCGTGTATCCCGTGTTGATAATAAAATTTTTTCGATTTTTTCGTTGTTGTGTAAACATAATTGTTATTTTCCAGCTATTCTTTTTAATTTTTTATAGATTACTTCAGGGATTTTCAATCAATTCATATCATTTTGGAGGATGGAAGTCCGAACTGATGAAATGCAAAGAACAAAGTGTTGTGACAACCCAACGTTTGCTGAATTTTCCAAAGAAGAGTGACGAAAATATCACCAGTGATTTAGACAATCTCGATGAGGATCCTATGAGAAGAGAGATATGCTATTCGAAAACAATTATATCCTATAAAATTTTATTACTCGAGAACTCCATGGGAAAATTAGTATATTGGAGATGCAACTGGGGAATATAAAAAATGCACCATTATCGTCGCATATCAACAACAACGAAGTATGCCTAAAAAGTGACCTTCACAAGATTGTTGAGAATTCGGCAGTGTCTAATCCACTGGTAACAATTCAAAAAGGCTTTTGCGAATGCAACTAAATACCAGGTAAACTGTCCCGTCACCCAAAACTGCATTTATCCTAGTATATCTCCAGAAAGTGTTGAAAATGATATACAAGAAGCGACGACGACGACAACAACAAATCAAGGGTCCTGGACAGTTGTCAATAGAAACAGGAAGAGGCGTAAATTTCTCGTAGGGAAATCAGTATGTCAGTGTTTTCGAAGTAGTCCCTAAACTGGTTTCGTTACATGTTTCACCTTACGATTTGGTCTCCACAAACTTTGTGGAGATGAATCGATATAAACTGAGGACGCCGCCAGCCCAAAATCTACATCAAACAGTAATGTGGATTTTGGGATGCATTGGACGCTCTTGCATCTCATGTGAACACAAGTCATTGTCTATGGTCATTTATCTTCAGTTCCTGGGTCAGTTGAATTTTGTACGGGTGCAGGCCCAAGTTATGACCCAAAATTCACCAAGTTGTGGTCTGCAAAAGGCCAACAACTGTTTGGTATCAAGCCTCGAAGGGTGAATAAACGCCTTGGAGTGAGCCAATCCTGGAAGATTCAGCCAGAAGTCCATAAGTCTTCTTGACATCCAGGTGTTCAGTGTTTGTTTGGCAAAGCCCAAAGCAATGCCGATGATAGGTTCTGGTCTGATGAAGCCGCTTGTAGCACCCTCCTTTGCGAGAGAGTCAGCAGCTTCATTGCCTTCCAGGCCAGTATGGCTAGGAATCCAGAACAGAAACAATCTGTTAAGTCTTCCTATCGAGAAGAGTGGTTTTTGGCAGTTTGCTACCAATTTAGACGTTGCTCGGTAGGAGCCAAGAGCTTCCAATGCCGCTTGACCGAGAATATTTTTATCGACTTGTCGCATAAGTCGCATAAGTTCCTAGGCAGGTAGATAATTCTATCCTGGGTCTGCGACTAAAAACACCTGCACCAGAACCGGAAGGTGTTTTTGATCCATCTGTGAACCAACAAATATCTGCTCTTAATATTTCCTTCTACCGGAGGATCCAGTCCTCTCTACTCGGGAATAGTTCTTTATAAGGCAGTTCGTAGTTGACAGTTGGAGGCATAAAGTCAGAGGTCATTTCTAGAATGCTGCGACTTCCAATGTCAACCAACAGTATGTTGCACTCTGCATTGAATTGATTTGTGCAATTGGCAATGTGCACAAGTCTGTATACAGTCCATCTAGCCTCTCTCTCTCCAGAAAAATGTGGAGAGAAGGCAGATCTAGAAGGATCTCCATGGCCGCTGACGATGTGGTACTGATGGCAACACTGATAGCCAGACAAGCCTGTCTCTGTAAGCCAGAGAGCTTCGCTTGGGCCGTTTTCTTTCGGCCACCAAGCAATTGCACTATAAGTGATCATTGGTCTGACAATCATCACATAAATCCAATGGATTTGTTTGGGATCTAACCCCAAGTTTCATCACAAATCCTTCGACATGTCCATAGAGACAGTCTGGCTTTGTGTAAAACTTTTTCCAAGTGGGCGTTCCACGGGTGTCTTTTATCAAGGACAATGTCAAGATATTTCACTTCCGTTCCAAATGGAATGACCACAACATTGAGGAAAAGTGTCGTTAGATCGCCCAATTTTCTCCTCTTGGTGAAGGGGATCAACACAGTTTTGCTGGGGTTGACAGACATCTGCTCCCTCAGGCATCAATTGTGAACAACGTCCAACGCGCTTTGGTGGATATTACAAGCTACCCTTCCCGACGTGGACATTGCCAGGATGACAAGGTCATCTGCACAAGCTTGCAGATCGACTTTTCTTCTGTCGAGAGCATCAAGCAGACTATCCACCAGGAGCGACCACAGAAGGGGAGATAGTACCTCACCTTGAGGGCAGCCCCTGGTGAAACTGATTCTGATAGCCTCGCCTTGAAGAGTCGTAGTTGCAGTTATGTTTACTAGCATAGCATAGATCTAGCAAGTTATGAACCAGTGGACTCAAATTCATCCACCACATTGCAAATAGACCTCTCGGTAGGACGATTATGACAGCCTTAAAATGGGTGAAATGCGCGATATGTTGCCCGAACAGAAAATCCATTTTTATAAAACACGTGTTGTTAATTTGGCAAAACAGACTGAATAAATGACAACTGATTTAACAGATGTAGTTTCAATAAGATGGCCGTTATCAATTGTCAAAGTTCGGAAGTCAGTGATGGAAGACTTACCGCCAATATAATGAAGATGACAAGTTTGAATATAATATTTGAAAATGGAAAAGCACGGTCAGACGAAAAAACTGAATAATAGAAGAAGCCAAAATAAATGGCAAACTTCATGAATTGAACTCTGCAGTTTGACACAATATATTCGACCCAAATTATTCAATCTTGCTCCAGATCATATGAAAACGGAATATGTGTTAGAGTTATTGAAAACTTCAGTGAAAATGTAACATTGCTATGAACAAATTCTACTGAATTAATGTCTCAATTTTCATATATTGTTTTCATCCCTACCTAGCATTTTGAATACTTTTAATTTAAGATGAAATTGTATTTCATATTGTAACATTCATATTTTTATACGTTTACACTAATATTTTTACGTTTTATATGTTTTACATTATTTTATACTTTTATATTTTATATTCAATGTGTCTTTTTTGTAGTATACTAAAAATAGTATTCACTACTTTTTAGGAAAAAATAATATCGATATTTTTAATACTATTTAGCACTAAAATTTTTCCCCGAGTAACTCAAAATTCATTATATCTTGACCATCTTCAAAGGATGAATTTCGATATTGATGTTTGAAGTTTTCCAAAAACTTAAGTAAATCATAAATACTTCTTTGATAAAAATTCAATAATGAGACTCGTTTTGACAAACCTTTCCTTATATCTATATTAATCCCCCATTTTTTATGCTGTCATAAATACATGTAATTTGGTGATTATTAAACTACTACTACTACTACTACTATATGCCATAGAAGGTCTATTAAGTTTAGCTAAATCTCCCGATAAAAGTGATTAAAGACTAATTTGTGCCCGGCTTGAACAATTTCCTAAGAAATATGTATTGCTGGAAAAATAACAAATCTATTGACTGGCCATGACATCAATAAAAATTCCAGGTCATCCGTTGGAACTGATTCATTCAGTTGTTTTCGGACCAATATCACCAACTTTTTCCCTTCAATTTTTTACTTAGAGAAACATTGTTTTGTGATTAGGAAATATAAGATTGATATTGTAGATGTATTACACCTACCAGCTAATATAAGTTTAGCTTTTGGCGAAAACCTCCTTAGCTCTGGTGCCCATTTATGGAAGACATTCTCGAAAGAGCTTCGTTCATTGACTGCATACGTGAGAATGAAGCAATCCACCTGCAAAGAAAGGAAAATTGTGAGAAAAAAGATTAGAGATCTGTGCCTTCTTCTGCACATGGTAATGGAAATGTTTTTATTCACTTTCACTTGAGGCGTCAAATATAAGGATAAGGAAGAGCTAACTATGACAAACTATACTCACGTCTTTGTAGGCTAGTCGTCTGAGTTTATCAAACTCTTCCTGGCCAGCTGTGTCGGAAAGAATAACTTTGTATGCCACAGAGTTTATTTCAATCGTCATTGAGTATACATCGAACCTGGAAGTGAATTGATGGAAAATTGTTATTAAATTAGTCAGAATATTCTACTATAATCCAGAGCTCATTCCCCCTTCAACTTTTGTTAAAGTATAGAAATGCATCCATGGATGCATATACTCTTTTTTCCTTCAGAAATCTCGCCTACCGGCAGTGACGCAAAAATCCCAGTGCCGAACTAGGTTTGTTAATGCTCACAACAGCTGCAAACTTAGGATGAATGAAAGCAAAGAACTTCTCAATTAGAGAATGAGAGATAAACTGCTTGCCAATTCCAACGGGTCGAGATCCTTATGGTCAGTAGCTGAAGCTGTTGATCAGAACTTTACAAAATCTACAATTCCACCATTAACACAAGACAATAGTTCACTTGCATCAACAGCCATAGAAAAAGCAAATCTACTTGATGAACAATTTGCGTCCACTCCACAGTCGATTTTCTGAGAAAGGCACCACCCATTATTGCCATACTAGAATCCACAATGCCGGAAATTAATTTTTGACAGCGTTTAGTCAGGCAAATTTTGAAACAGCTCAATATCAACAAGGCGTCTGGTTCTGATGAAGTGCCCATCATCGTGCTTAAAAAGTGCGTAAATGAACTCGCACCAGTATTTTGCAGACTTTTCAACTTGTCTTACAAGAAAGGGGTTTTTCCTTCTTGTTGGAAGATTGCTCGCGTTCAGCTTATTCCCAAAAGGGCAAGGAAAATCTTTCATATAACTATAAACTAGTCGCTTTGCTATCAGTGATACCAAAAACCATAGAGGAAGCCGTAAACCACAATATTCTTGAATATTTATCAATATGACTCTCGGAAACAAAGATCAACAGGCGACTTTCTATCGTATGTCACCCATATTTGAAATAACGCAATCGAGAAACATGGAGAATCAAGAGCTGTTGCGCTTGATATTTCTGAAGCCTTTGACCGTGTGTGGCATGAGGGTTTGCTGGCCAAACTTCGATGCTATGGCTTGGCGGATCATTTTTGTGTATGGCTCTACAGCTTTCCGTAAGAACGTTCCTTGCTAGTGGCCGTCGATGGATGTCTCTCGGATATTTTCACCATCAACGCTGGTGTTTCCTAGGGATCCATATTGTCTCCATCTCTTTGTATTGTGAATCAATGACTCATTGGATAAAACCAAGAATCCGATATATTGCTTTGCTGTCGCCGGCAAAGCAATATATTGGAGTGAAAGTAACCAGCTTCAATTCAATACCATAAATCCCAGGCATCAGTTTTTTCTAACATAAATGTTTCCGAAACGGATATAATAATGTCAGGTCAGACAATTTCACTTTCTGCTTCGATATGTTCGTTGGAGGTTAAAATGGGCACCAATATATCTATACACAATAATGTCGCTGGAAGCAACAGTCGCTTCTCAAAAGCTTGGAACATCGGTTATCTCCAAGAAGATAAATGTATCCGAACCAGATATAATAATGTCAGAAAATTCAGCTTTCTGCTTAGATAAGTTAAATGGGGGTTTAAAATGGACACAATACGTATTAGTACAATCATGTTGCTGGAATTGCAAAGGCTGCTTTTCAAAAGCTTGGAACACTGTTCCGAACCAGAAATCTGTACACACCTCATCTACTTTTGATGCTTCATAAAGGTCATATAAGACGTTCTTTGGAGTATTGTACTAATGTATGGAGTTACGCCCCCAAATATACTTTGAAGCTGCCGGATTCTATCCGGAAAAGAGCTATCCGCCTGATTGGAGACAAGAATATAACTGGCAACCTTGATAGTCTGGAACATCGAAGAAAGGTTGGAAATTTGTCTCTCTCCTATAGATAGTTTCACGGAAAGTGTTCAAGTGACTTGGCACATTTGATTCCACCAAGAGCGATACAAATCAGAAATACGTGACGGACTGTGGCTACTCATCGTTTTGAGGTTCAACTCAGTACACCTCGCACTTCACTGTTCAAGAACTCTTTCATTTGGAGAACGGCGTTTATATGGAATAAACTTCCTGAGAACGTCTTTCCAAATGGATTTAATTTTCAAATCCAATGTGAATTGCTATTTTCGCACTGGCACCGCTCTTAGACCGCCTTGAGGATTTTCTTGTAGTACTTGAACATCTTTTTTCCAGCACGTAGCACTAGACGGATTCCACTTTCCAATATTTTTTTGAAGTTCTTGATTTCTAGAGCAATCTTGCTGTTGGGAAAAAATTTTTGACCTTCACTTCTCGACCTCTATATAAAAAAATATTGAAATTTTTCAGAGAAAAAAAGAAAATAAATATATAAGTCCTGAAGAAAATACAGAGATGTGTAGCTCATCTATAGAAGTCACTTTCAGATTCAAACTGGGAGAAAAAGCCACCCCAAAACAATACCAGAAAAGTTTAAAAATTGTCTATACAAGGTGGGCCATCGAAAACTTGACGTGGAGATTTTGGGTACTAATCTTGCAAATCCGAAACGCTCAGACAGGTCAATTTTTATTGGGAGGGGGAAAATTTTAATTTTTGTGGACGTTGAGTATGCACTTCATGAAAAATGTGAGGATTTGAATCAGCCCAATAGCGACAATTAAGGCGATCAACTGTGCTATTTAAAAAAAAAGAACATTCATCACTGAAGCAAATGTTGAAAATAAAATGTGGATTTTTCACCGCTCGTTTTCACCAACTCTCAAAATTGCAAGTGACATCTTCATTCAGTTCTTGCGTTAACTTAATCTTTTGAGGATGCATTTTGTGGGTTTTTAAAATACGCTTAATGCTAGTTCGTGACACCCCGGAAACAAATGCTAACTTTCTTATGCTCGAAGTATGGTCAAGCTCAACATGGCCCAGAGTTACCACTTTTATCGCCTCATTTGTTACTGGTGATTCTATTTGCCGTTTTTTATCTGCTACAGATCCAGTTGCGCGAAATTTTGCAATTAAATCGAAAACATACTGTCGCGACACATTCTTTCCATGTTGTTGATTGAACAGTTCAGCGGCTCTCGCAGCACAACCTTTATTTCCATAGTACAGTTCAATCAACTCAACCCTCTCTGCAGTTGTGTAAACCATTGTTTCTCTAGCAACACTTTACGGAGCTCACTACTAGTAAAAATGTAGATATCACTTTTAACATAAAAATGAGAAATAGAAACAGCATTTTCAACCATTTCTGAATTGTAATAGTCCTCTTATCAGAAAAGAACTGAAAAATTAACAAAAACATAGCGTAAAAGAGTTCCAAATACATTCCAACTGAGCAGTGTCGTACAACAATTTGTTGCTATTAACAATATTGGAAAAGTTAATTATTATCGGAAAGAACTCTTTTAAATACGTCCCAATTAAAAAAAAAATGTACACAAATGTTTAGAGAAATCCAAGATCTTTCAAACGATATGCGACTCGTCCCCTATTCCCTATTAAAATTCCAAGGGTTGTTCACCCCTCTGCTCCGGCGTTGAAGTGACGACGCTGTAAATGGGGAAAAACTGTCCCCCTCCCAATAAAAATCGACCTTTTTTTTTCGGATTTGCAAGATTAGTACCCAAAACCATCATGTCAAGTTTTCGATGGCCCACCCTGTATATCAAAAATACAGATGATGAAATGAATTAGAGAATATCTGTCCTCAAAAAACTTTCCTAAATTATAATGGGGTCTGCCATTTAATAAATATTTTACTGATTTCCGAAATTTACAGTAATCCTCTAAAATTTCAATATGGACAGATAAATGATTGAACATCTTAATACCATTATAATATAAGGAGTCACTGACTAGAGTAGAGGCTGGTATGGATAATCTTAGGTCGTTAATTCGATGAAGGGCATAATCATTGGAGTAGCTGCTAAATATCAGTTTATAATAATAATAATGACTTCCATTGGTGGTTCCATACAATTACAACCAATGAAATGGCAGGATTCAATATTTGCGTATGATAAATCATCTACTGACCAAGTAGAATCAACTGCAATCGGCTGGCGGAATTCATTGTTACAGTATCGGAGTGGTCAGTTACGTGTTAACACGTGGTGTGTACATATACGGTATTCTGAGGTAGGTTTGAAAATTTTGGAATTTCAACTACTGATACGGCTGAAGAAGCTGCTTTTGTGTGTCCCTACACTAGACCTGAAAAATTTTCCTATACCCAGCCGTATATTGTTGGAAAATATAAAATTTCGATCGTTCCTTAGTGCGACTCTGTACAAGAAGCCTTGTCTGAGAGATCACTATGAATGAAAATGTTTTGCAGCACTCCGGTGTTTTCAATCATCTTGTCTGTGTTCATTGATGTCAATGGTATGCTGTCATTCAACAAGTATACCAAGCTATTATTCCGTTTGTATTGGGTGTACAGACACTATGAACAACATTGTTTTTGTTTTTTGTAAACTGAATTCTTACTAAAAATGTTTTTTGTCAATAAAATACTTACTCTTTGAGTTATTCGCAAAAACCGTCTAAAGCAGGGGTCTCCAAACTTTGAAGCCTTCGGGTCATTATGATTTTTTCAGTTTGTTCCAATTTCTGCCATCAACTATATTTCTAGACTAGGATAGTCGCAAAGTGCGTGACCTAAGCAAATTTGCTCGTGGGTTGTTTTCTGTTTTTGGTACTACTCACTTGTGTGAGAAAACGTTTTCCAAGATGAAGTACACAAAGAATTTTTACAGATCTCACTTGACTGATGAGCATCTTAAATCTCTTTTGATAATTGGTACAAGTAAAATTGATCCACAACTACAAAGTATTGTCGGTGGGAAATCACAATTACATAAATCTCATTAGTGTTTGTGTTTTACTGTGATTCATTTCAATTATTTGTTAGTTATTAATATGCTTGAAGTTAGATAATTAAGTTAAGTTTTTTTTGTCATCATTTCTGTCGTTAAGTTTTACCTTGCAAGTAAATAAAACCGAGTAATTATCATATCATTCTGTGTTTTCTTCTTCAACTTATCACAGCAATAGTAACAACAATTAGGTAATCATTGGCTGTCGCGGGCCAGATTGATGACGGTAAATCATTGGCTGTCGCGGGCCGGATTGATGACACTGGCGGGCCGGATTTGGCCCGCGGGCCGTAGTTTGAAGACCCCTGGTTTAAAGACCTCAATTTATGGATTGAAAAATTGACACTTTCACTCGCCAATGACTCGACTGGTTTTGACAAGCTTTACGAAACAGAAGTTGCGTATAATTCGTCAATTTATCCATTCTCGGACTTAATTTCAATGAAACATTTTTCACCTTCTAAAAGGGGTGGGCTCTGCCCGTAAAATCAACCCCTGTAGCAGCGTAGCTTATGAACAACAGGGTAAGTAGAGATCAAATCAAAATTTTTCAACAAATGGGTGATGTTTGGCAAAATTATACAATATCGTTGAATTTCAATTTCAATGATTGGACTAAATGTATTCAAGTCCAACTGGATTCTCGAAAAATAAAATTTTCATCATTATAACCGTCTATAGCACGTACTTACACAGTGGGTTGATATCTGTCGTCGAATTTTTTGTCTTTGTAAGCAATCAACATACTGGTCTTTCCTGTAGCACCATCTCCGACCACCGTAATCCGTATCGTTGTTTTCCGCGACCTATCCATTTTTCTTCATACTTGACTATTGTTTATGAATCTATAATTCGATATTGGTATGGTTGTCGATAATCCAACTTGTAACAAAAAGTATATTCACACCCAGATCAAACAATCTTACACTACAGACTTCCATCTCATAACGATCTCCTTATCTACATCATAGATAAGATATATACGTGGTTGTCATGATCTAATAATCTAATGCGAGAGTGATAACAAAAGCAATCCTTTGACGATTTCGTTGGATTGGTTAATTCATACAGCAAAAAATTTGAAACGATAGTAAGTTATTATTAATGCTGAAGTGAATTAGAAGTTCACTACAGGTAAACTTTGAAATAATGTGTGGCTATAGTTTTCGACATATACTGTTCTCTACCCAGTTAAAATATCAAGGTTGAATGAAGTTTACGTGAAAAGGCATCGTTTACAGTATTTCTCAACAAGAAAACCAGTAGTGTGTCACTCGTTACCGAGAGGGCGCCATCATTTTTTCAATGAAAAACGGTAATACTACGTTTGACAGATATTTTAGTTCTATATCCAACGCTACCTCATTTTTGAAAATCGGACAAGCCCTACTTGTGTGATCAGCAGTTTAATATATTATTTTGTAAGAATCTGCGATGAATATCATGATTTCAATAAGAAAATTCACCAAAAACTCCAGTTTATCCTAATGTAGTTGTGATTCTATATATTTTATCATAATTTTTCCTTATGACGTCAGTCATTTCTGAGAAGTTTGTGCCTACTATAGTATAGAGTAATTTCGTTGCAAGCACCTCTTTTTCATCCATACGTTCTTAAATGCACTATAGTTGTGTGATGCATTCTTTAGACTCCACGAATCCACACGAAACAGTCCAAAATCGTCGTTTCTGGTGATTTTGCGGACCACTTCAAAATTTTTCAATTATTCAAAGTTTCGGGCGACTTCATTGATTCCACTTTTTGCTTTTGAGTTTGTTGGGGGTTAAAATGGACACCAATATGTCTTGGCACAATCATGTCGCTGGAATTGCAAAAGCCGCTTCTCACCCCCAAACATACTCTGAAAATGCTGGATTCCATCCAGAAAAGAGTTATTCGCCTGATTGGAGGAGACGCGAACATCACTTGCAACATTGAAGAAATTGAAGGTTTGTCTCTCTTTTATAGATACTTTCACGGGTATATTACACTTGGTAGGAAGTAACTTGGCTTGGAGTCTTTTAATTTTTTATTTTTATTTTTGTTCAATTGTTCTATTTTGTACTTGTATATGATTTCACTGTAATTTCATTTCAGGGATTTTTTGCTTGATATAATTATCAATTTTAGATATTGTTTTTAATTTTTCATTTGTATTAGTTCCTTTAGGGATTTCAAATCATTTTATATAATACTAGACAATGGAAGTCCGAACTAATGAAATTCATCATGAAACATTGTCAGTCACCTTCAAACATTCGATAAGCTCGTTCTTTTGCTAGCATCAGAAATGCCATGGGAGTTATATCTTCCCTACAGGGCCGTAGCGAAAAGAAAAACTAGGGGGGGAGGGAATCCGAATTTTCCCAACCCCACCAGCAAAATTTCCCAACTTTTGAAAAAATGAAAGCCGAGAGATTAGTTACTACTAAAAGATTGGCTGAATGCTTATGCCCCATTAGGGTATGCACAAACAAAAATAAATTTTGGTAATTATAAAAATAATAATGGGAATTATTCTACTTTGGACCAAGGTCCTTGGTCTTCCACCATATCCACCATGTATAGGAATATTCAATACAAATGAAAGGAAATAACACTTAAATAATATTGTGCTTATTGTTTTCTACTATTATTTTTTCTATCTTCACTGCCCAAAATTTCCCACCTTTTCCAAGTCGAATAAACAGCGAAAAGTTGGGATTTTTGTAAAATTGTCACTTCAAAATTTGCGGACTGTTCAGGACTGTTCTCTTACTTGGGAAAAATTAAACTTTTATGAAGATTGAAATATTTCAAAACTTCTTTGACATCTGTCGAAGAAGTAAAGAAATAAGCTCTCAAAAAAGGAATAACTGCGTATATATTCGAATTTTTATCCATTTCTGAAGACGCAGGCAGATTTTGGCCTCCGAAACGTAAAAGATAAGTATTATTTCCTAATAATTTTTTTGATAGGCAAAATTGTTAAATACGACAAGTTACTGATAAATAGAAGATTTTTCTTTGTGAAAAATACTTTGATTTTTACGCAGTAACTTATTGGGGTAAACTAAAAAGTTTGCCCTTCTACACTTGTATAAAGTTCTCCATTATAATTTTTTTATATTTTTTCAGATTGTGGAAGGTAACAATTACCCAAAAAAAAGGTCGATAAAAAACTGAATTTTTCCTCCACAAAAAATGACTTTCGTTGAATATGTGATCTCCAAGTTATGCATTTTGGCAAATCCCAACCTTCTCCTGGTTCTTTCCCTTTTCTTATTACCTCTCCCTTTATTTTCTCTCATTTCAATTTTTTTAATTTTTATTGATTTTGTTACTTTTATTTTTTTCTATCTTCACGGCCAAAAATTTCCCAACTTTTTTCAACTTTTTCCCAAGTCGAAAAAGCAGGGGGGAGGATCCCCCCATTCCCCCTCATAGCGACGGCCCTGCTTCCCTGGCAATTTTTTCCGTGACTCCGCTGCAAGATTCGCAGCTTTTTGAGAAGAGAAGCTAGTAAACTATGACCTCAAGCCAGGAAAACATGGATTTTAAAAAAACTGTGGAAAACAAGAAAGGCACAAAGCCGTGTTGACGTTCATGGAACACCTTCCTGCACTCCCCACTGTCCTCGAAGCCATTGCTAGTTCACCGGAAAGTAGAGGAAGTAATGTATTTGCTTTCCTACACTCTGTTCTCAGAATTATTGATTAGTGTAGTATTGTTGGCTGAGGTACTTGGAGTAACTATACCCCTAGCATCCAACTCTAAACAGAATACAAGGATGTGCTGCAAGCTTCGCAGCTTGTAGAAGCTTCAATGCAGAGCATACAAGAAAAACGTGACAACAGCTCCGACACCTTCAAGGAGCTTTATAATCAGGAGGCTGATTTGGCGAAAGAAATGCAAACGCCTAGGACAACGATCTAATATACAAACAGTCCCACCTGAGGTCTATTACCACATCCCGTTTCAAGGTCCTCCAAGAAGAAGATGTGTAGGCAAGCTACAACACTTGTTAACACCCGATATAAATGATGCCTACATTAGTGACATTCTTCAAGGAGCAATCAAGTACAAAGAAGATTTGCCATGGTTTTTGGCCTTGAAAGGCCGAAAATAAGTTACCTAGACACCCGACGCAAGCTTACAAGTTTGCCGATTCTCTCTCAAACATCAGGATATTATTGCAGCTGTTGTGCACCAGTACAGCAGAGAGAACTTTTCCAGCTTTGCGTCTTCATAAACATATCTTTCACCCAATAGCTGTTGAAACTTTTTGTGTTTTTGGCTGTGAAGCCTTATCTTCCATCAATGAAATTGGAACAAAGGTAACCGATGAATCCCCCGAATCAAGAGCCACATCTTTTCTCATTCAAAAAATTAGTATAGCTATCCAAAGAGGAAATGCGGATTCGTTTTTCGGTACTCTTCCTGATTCCAAAAAACTTAATGAAATTTACATGTTTCCTGAAAACCAATTTCATAAGGAAAAGAGAGGTAGTAACAAACCACTTCATGGAAATAAAACAAAAGCATCTTTGATTGACGACTTGTTTATTTTGTGGAAATTCATGTTCACTGAGGATACACTACAAAAACGCACTTTTGTCTATTTTCCACGACATTTCTTTATTGTTGACTAGTTTCGGCTATTACTCCATTTTCAAAACTAACTGATTACATTTAAATCTGAGTAATTCATACCTAAGTTGCCTATCCTATCATAAATAATGAACCATGAACATGTCATAAATAATGAACCATGAACCATTTCCGATAAAAAATCATTAATGTACAAACATCTTTAAAATTCGAAACATAAAATAGGTAAAGATAATTTAAAAATCCTTCACACATGCGAAAAAGGGAAAATGACAAGTCAAAGAAAAATCCCAATTCTATTGTCCTCAACGAACAACTTGATCTAAATAATAGTCCTCTCCTATAATCCAGTTCCCAAAACCTACATTATATCAAAAGCTTTGTTTTGTTATGTTCATGGATATTACAGGTATATAAAATGTAGGTACCAAATTATTTATGGGTTTCGAAGATATTTCGAATTGTTCAGTGATAAATTCTTTAGTCAAAACCCTTGGATTCAATGGTTTGAAAAATATTGGTAACACCTGTTTCATGAACAGCGTAATCCAATGTTTATCAAATACGAGATGGTTATTGGAATATTTGAAAAAGGATGAATTTATGAAAGATATCAATACTAGTATTTCTAGTATGGAGGGTGCTTTAATCAAAACGTTTGCAGAAGTTATCAAGGAGTTGTGGTCAGAAGATTTTTTGATAGAGTAGTAAATACAGCCTTCTTAAAAAATCAGATTCAAAGTTTTGCTCCTCGATTCATGGGTAATTCCCATCAAGATGCTCAGGAGTTTCTTCGTTATCTTTTAGAAGGTTTGCATGAAGACGTTAATATAATTGATGAGAAACGGAGATTGACGAAAAATGGAGCGACAGCGGAAATGCACAAGAGTCATGGCTCACATATTTGAGGATGCATAACTCTAAGATTATAGATCATTTCGTTGGTCAATTGAAATTTACGGTGAAATGCACACACTGTGGACACTCATCAGTAACCTTTGATCCTTTCTGGGATTTGTCTCTCTCCATACCACAAAGAACCGACCAATTGAGTTTGTGGCAATGCTTGGAATCGTTTACATGAGAAGAAACTTTGGATGGAAATGAAAAACCGACGTGTTCGAAATGCAAGGAAAGGAGAAAATGCACAAACTCCCTATCAATCCACAAGTTTTCCCATATTTTAGTAATACATTTAAAAAGATTCTCTCCAACGGGAAGATTTAGAGGCAAATTGAATGATGTCATCGAATTTCCTCTAGAAGGATTGGATGTGGACAGTTTTGCAGCAGAAAATGTGGCTACTTGTTGTTATAATCTATATGCATTTTTAAATCACAGTGGGACTACTAACAGAGGACATTATACAGCATACTGCAGACACCCGTATACTGGCACGTGGGACAAATACAACGATTCACATGTGTCACCAATTTCACCAAAATCGCTTGTGAGTGGAGAAGCATACGTCCTTTTTTATGAAAAGAATGGAATAAAATCGCATTTTCAAGATAACTGAGGGAAAGTTTCTTTGTGCAATTATTATTTATTTTTTGTTAAGTCCTTACATGTAGATACCTGTTTCGTAAGAATATGTGTACTTCTAGTTGATGTTATAAGTTCATCAACGCAATACCATGACTGAAGAGAGACTAAATGAAGACTGAAGAAGTCATGGACGATTACCTAAGAAAGCACAAGAGAAAATTATCTCTGGTGCTCAAAAAAATTTCCATATCAGAAATATTATATTTAAATTATAAAAATATTATTATGTTAGACCATTGATTATTTTTATTAATAAAAAGGAATCATAATCATATGCTTGTACCTGAAAAACTTTTCATGTATTCTTGATATACATTTCTATCTCATTGTTAGTTGTAATAATACAATATTCAAAACTAAGCAGTTTTTTTCAAATGCTTGTTCTTGAATGCATACTACTGAACATCAATAAAAAAAGCCTCCAAGGACTCAACAACGTACTCTGGGTTGTAAACTATTCCCCCCCCCCAAATGATTTTCTGTATCCTCCACTGTCTGTGAGACATCTTGCATAAACGTTCGTCGGATATAATTCAATGTCCATCGTGGTATTAGCCGTGGAAGTAGTTATTTTCTGGCAGGCATATACGAATGAAAATATATACATCTTAAAGCAGCAACTTTCTGGTTAACACCTTTACGAACATTGAATCACACCCAACAGATATATTTGTGCAAGGTTCCTCAAAAACCGATATCGGTGTTTTATACATCATCTTTACGGTTCTACCAAAACAAAATTTTCGTCATTCGGTGTCCTGCTCAAGTCCATTTTACCTTTGCCTCAATATTGGATGTCTTCCACTTCCTCCGTCAAATGAAAAATATTCCAGCATGAAAATAAAATATATTCTACACAAATTTTTGAAATTTATTTTTGAACAGTACTTCATTAACACTTATTCATAAGTGTGAACTCTTATTACAGAGTTATTATTTCCAGAAACCATTCGATTTGAATAATCATCACATTTTTATACATAAATTTCACATCCAAGAGAAACCTTCCCGCGGGTAGAGATTTTGGCCATCCATTAGACGTTAACATTACGTTGTACATATAGTGGTGACCCTAAAATAACGATGATCTTTAATTATTCTTAGGACAAATGCACATAGGGAAAATTGTTACTGAGATCTAAATCAACTCATAACGGGGTGAATAAATCAATCAACATTCTTACGAAAATTTTTTGCCAAAAAAATTATCCTATCAAATTTGTCTATTTCTAGTCATGTGTGTTGAAATAACCAATGTATCCATCATTACACTGATAACTACCCATGGATAATTTTCACGGGTAGTTATCACTTATGTCATGACATTGCTAAGCAACCAACACAATAAAGTTGTTTGACATTTCAGTAACTCAATTTATTTCGAAAATGTCACTTCCTCGCTTTGGTGTTCAAAATGATGCGGCAATTGACAAAATCATTGAAGAAAATACACCAAAAAATACTGTCAATAGTAAAAAATACACTTGGAAAATATTTATGGAGTTATATCATTATACGAATTGTTCTTTTAATAACTGTGTGTTCAATAAATAATTTTGTTCGAATTGCAAAAAATTTTCTCACCGAATATCCCTCGAACATTGATAAATAACTCATAATTTTATCACAACTTCCTCAAGCACGTTATTTTAGGTAACATCCCTCCGCCTTCGGCGTCGGGATGTTACCAAATAACGTGCTTTCGAAAACTGTGATAAAATTATTTCGTTAGTTATCAATGTCCTTGGGATATTATAGCTGATAAAAAAACACGCTTCATATGAAGAGTCATCTACAGGGTCCTCGCCTTTAAATGAATCTATTTGACAGTGTACTTCGACGAGAAAAAGTATTTCGTGTTAGGAAACACACGTTGATCGATAAGACCTCGTTAGTCGCACAAGTTTCGACTTTTGAGAGTTGTCGTTATGTCAGTTGTGACGGAATGGAAGCTTAATAGTACTGTCATAATGATATCGCGATTACAACCCTCTCTGCTAAACTTCATCGCGAGTCTCAGTAGCCTCTTACGACATCATGTCTGAGAGATCTTTTTTTCAAAAACAGGTATCATTGGTTTCCAAGGATATAGTTCCACCTATAGTTAAGCTGAGTCTGAACAAACGGATGTGAATTTTCAGTTTCTTTTTTCTGACCACCAACTACTTCCAAAATTATTTTCAGGCATATGCCATTGGCGTTTCCTAATCCAGCTTCAGAAACATTAAGTATGAGTCCCAACTGCCTCTGGTTTTTTTTGTTGCACTATATGCAAGGTTTATTCTGTTCAGTTACCATTTTCAGTAGTGTTAATTGCTGCATCTGCTTTTTGTGACTTGTAGTTAGCGATTTCCTATACTTTTAGCACGCGTTGGAAATTGTGGTAAACCTTTTATACTTTTTGAAGCATCTATCTTGAGTATTCAACGAAAGTCATTTTTTGTGGAGAAAAAAATCAGTTTTTTATCACTTGTATAAAGTTCTCCATTATGATTTTTATATATTTCAGATTGTGGAAGGTAACAAATACCCAAAAAAGGTCGATAAAAAACTATCTTGGTTCATTTTGCAATTTTATATAAGTCAGCGAAGGTTAACTCTTCACAGTTCATTACATAATGCTTGGGTTTTCTTTCTTTTACTTCGTTCGATGACATCTCTGAAATATTTCTTTGGGCAGCCTGGCCGAGATCTTGTTCAAGGTGTAACAAATACTCTTCGTAGGCAACTTCCTCAACTCTGAAGGACAAGTTCTATATAATGTGCGGCAATTTATCTATGATCAAATTTAGGCTTCAGATACTCAGTTCCAGTTTAATTGTAACCTCTTCACGTTGATCTTCAAAGTGATTTTGGGAATCCCACAATGAAGTATTACCATTTAAGCATGTCGTCATCGGGCTAATCTGTCGATTTTGACTGTTTCATATTTTTTAGCTGATATAAATCAATTTGCAATGTAACGATTTCATCATCGGCTTTAATTTTTTGAATACGTACCACTAGTTTTTTTCATACATTTTTGTAGACACTGTATAAAAAATTCAGTACAGATCCGTTGAAAAAAATTGATGATGAAATCTAATGAATGAAAATAGCATGAAGATTATAGCAAATATGAAACAGTATTGAATGATTCTGTTAATTTGTTCATATCATTCGAAATGGAGGCGGTGAAGCTAAAAAACAAATTTGATAATTCTAGTTTTTGGCGAAGTCCAAATTGAACCGCGTGTGGTGTTTCCAGTTGTTAGACGTCTTGTCTTCGACTTTGAAGCCATTTTCAAGTAGCTATGACTATACTGAAGTCTCAATCTTCCTACTTCTCAGGTAGTGACGCGCTTTAGGGCTTTTGTGACTTGACGTCGGGGTCTCAATCTGCCTACTCGTCAGGTATCGTCACTAGTCTTCACAAGGGTCTCAGTCTACTACTCCGAGGTGTGCAATGTTATCAAATGATCTTCATGAATGAGGTAATCTTTGTGAATCACCTTTTTTGTTGAGGCAGTTGGGATGTTTTTCAATTTCAATAGCTTCGCGGATTATTCAGGTCTGGAGTTTTTTCAGTGGCAATGGTTTTGGTGTTTTCTAAGTTTATTGTTTTATGATTAAGTTTGGATCTGACTTACGGATAGCAAGCTCATGTTCATAGGCTCTGTTGGAGATTCTTCTGTTGACCCAGCCGATGTTAGTTCCAAAGCAGATGGAACATGGTATTTCGTATATGCCCTTTGTTTCATTGGGTTTCGCCTTAGGTGTTCGTAAAAAGTGGAATATTGATTTTTGGCTACGAATACTTTCGGTAACTCCATGAATATAAGGAAGTAAAGTTTTTGGATGGTTCGTCTATTCATCGGGTGGGATGTGGGATACGATTTTGCTGAAGTTGGATGAATCTTTGCGTTTGGGATTCGGGATAGTCGTTTCAGCAAAGGGTAGATTTGAGTTCGTCTAGTTCCTTGAATCTATTGTGGCTGTCATTAAGTCTGATAGACCTGTGTATAAGAGAATTCAACATGGAATTTAACTGGGCAGGATGCTGATGGGATTTAGCATTGACGTAGCGGTTAGTATGGGTTAACTTTCGGTAAATAGTGTGTTGAAGGAATCATTGGATTTTGTGTTTAAAATGTCCAGGAATGGAAGTGAGTTGCTATTTTCGACTTCCATTGTGAATTTTAGGTCGGAATGTGAGGGGTTGATGCGGTATAGGAATGTACGAAGACTTTCAAATTCTTAACAAAGACGTCATCTACGTATCGAAGAACACGAAGGTTAGAGGTCAACAAGTCAATGGATCTGGTTCTAAAGTCTTCCATTTGCAAGGCATTTCAGATCAAATATCATGATGAATATCTTCATAATAGGCGCGTTCTTGACCGTTCCAGCTTCGCCCTTATTCGAAAGACTATCCAAGACATCAGTCGCAATTTTTAATTTACCATCTTGTCCTTATATCAATGTTCCGGACGCTTATCAAGCCGGAATAAATTTGACAAACTTCTGTACATTAGTATACACTGAACCTCTGACAAGACATACATGCACTGAAAAAGACAATCGACTTTCGGTTGAGATTTTTGTTATCTGGCAGAGTAGCGGCATAAAACAAATGTTGATACTTTGTCTACCATCTATCAATTTATCTCAGATGTTAACGAGTTTTACGATCCGACCTACTCCGAAAAATCGACTCATACGGTTTTGAGAGACAAATACCTCTATGTGAGACGTAGAGGGAGATATTTGAAGGAGGTCCAAATTACGAAACGTCCAATCCAAAATTCTATGGAACGTGTTACGTGAAGTAAAAGCAGAGTAAAATTTTTTGAGTTACTAATTGAACACACCATACGGTGTAATCATATTACACAACCTACCTTGCGAACGGGACAATTCCGAAGTGTGGAATTCTTCGTTATGTTTGGTATGTCAAATTGTTCCGTCCCTAGAATGTCGCATAGTTTCGCAGGAAATGCTATTGGAGTCTTTCTATACTGATTCGACTTGAATATGGAAAAATGGAAAATCACCTGAAAAATCAATTTCATTAGATGCAGACGACTATGTTTCATTCGGGGATGTATTGATATCTAGTTAGCCTAGGCTGGTTGCGTGGATAATGAAAGAGATTTTTAGTGGAGGAGTGAATGTTTTTGTGCTGAAAACTTCAATCTGAAAATTAAACAAAGATATTAGGTTGTTTCACGAATTTTGCCCTTTTTCATAAGTCTTATTTAAACTGTAATATCTTAGTGAATAAATTAATGGATGTAGCCGTTACTAGGTACGTGGTAGGAAATCATAATGAAGAAAAGAGAATTGAATCTTTCTACGTTTTTTATCATTTTTATTTGTAACTAATGTTACTGTAGTTTCGTCCTATAAGAACATTTTCAAACTTGTACATTAAATTAACAATGGCTTATTACATTAGCCTTCATTTAGCAACCCTGTAGGTAATAATAGAGGTACTTGGCCTGGTCACAGCATATGTAACAATCAGCATGGACACTTGGCCATGCCGCCTTTGATGTGGAAAAGTATCTAGACATGGTTCAATCAACTGGAATATGAAGGAGAAATTGTCCAGCAATCAACTCTTGGGTATGAACTTTATGATCTACCTCTCTTAAAATAAATGTTATTTTGTATATTACTAATTAACCTTTCAGTTGAATTGCTTATTCTTTATTATAAGAATTGACGTTCTCCTTGCATTTTAGACTAAACTCTTTTTCAACACAAATGTCTTTTTTCATATATCCAAACATCAACTTACTTTTGTTACTCCAATCTTTTTATTCTTCTTTAGTAATACGTTCAAAGAACGTTTTTTACCCTCCTGAAATGTCAATATCATGTAGTTGACCCACTTGGGATCCTTCTAGGTTTCCAGGGTAGCTGGTTATTATTATATGAGAAAAAATCCTAGAAATACAAATTGTTCATTTTAAAACATTTATTCGTATCTCCAAATTATTATTTTATTCTTCCTTCTTTTTTGGCAATATTTTTCTGATATTTTAAATTCCTATTCATATATTTCAATGTACTTATGAAATAATCTTACTCTACTATATGTTAAAAGTTGAAATTCACGATACGCACAGAACACAGCTAACATATACGTCCTAACAAGAGCAATCCAAACGCAGAATGACAAAGTCGTCACTTTCCAAAATGGCGGATTCATCAACGCGACGGATATGCGCTAACTTCTCCCGCCAAGCGAAGTGACATTGGTGATTGTTACCTATGCTGTGGCCTGTATTTACAGTTAACAATGCGGATGTGTTAATTTGAAAACTGGTGAGTAAACTAAATTGATTTGATCATTAGGTTGGAAATTCACAAGCATAAACATTGCGGGTGCAACCTGTTAAATGATCAAATCCATTTAGTTTTCAAAGTAGCACATCCGCATTGTAAATTGTAAATTCAGGTACTCAATCAAGCTAAATATCTCTATCATTACCTACAGGGGTGCCATATAAAGGCTAATGTAATAAACCATTGTTAGTTTAATGTATAAGTTTGAAAATTTCCTTATATAACGTTAGTTACAAATAAAGGTGGTGAAAACATAGAAAGTTTCAATTCTCTTTTCTTTTCAGCGAATACCTATTCAATTCAATCGGAATGAGCGACATTTGATTTGGAGCACTTTTGCTAACGTAAGTAACACAGTCGATTAATTCCGTCAGTATAAAAATTGTGTAACGGCTACATCAATCAATTCATTTCCCAATTTTTTTGTGAACATCTGTAGACTTCATATTTTTGTCTATACCATTATAGAAAGCGTCGGTATCATATGAACCTTAGACGGAATATTCATATTATATACAAAACACTCGAAGAGACATGGTCGGTCAGAGATCGACGCGATGCGTAAACCAAAGGCGTTTCTGGCGCTCATGTATTCAAAACTTATTCGTCTGTGATTAAAATACATTCTGACGTCTATCTATGATTTGAAACGTATTCATGATGATTCAAAACTAGCGTGAGGTTAGTTATGAAACGGGATTTGACGTTACATTATGTCAATTGTCAGTTTCTGCTTTATTTTGGTCGTTATAGTTTATAAAGTGCTAAAAACATTTTATCGAATACATTGTAAGGATGTACAAAATAAAGCTTTATGCACAAATCCGATTTTAATTGAGGTTAGAGCAAACTGAAGAGTTTTCTTTAATTATTGCATTTGACATCTAACACAAATTGAATCATTCCATTCTGGCGAATCTTATTATCAATGAATACGATTAAATGTCAGAAAACATTCCAAGGATTTGTTTTTATGTAGTTCAGTTTTGAAATCCATCACTATCTTAATATGGCACCATCAGAATATCTCCAAATTACTTCAGTGGCATTGAGGTCCAGTAAAAGAGGTCATTTTGAAACTTCAACATTATCTTTATATCAATCTTTTGATTTTGAAAATCTGTCTTAACGGTTTCGTGAAAGTCTACATAATAAAATTTGAATTATCTACTTAGGAAATTACAACTTAGTAGTAGAACCATTTTCGGAGTAAATTGATGGCGTTCGATGACAATTCTCTACTCTAGATTTTACGTTTCAGTAAATGTCAAAAATAAATCACAGGGCGACAAATCTAATAATCATGGAGGCTACCTGATGCCGACTTTCTCCAATCCAATGCCATGATCAAAAATCAAGAAATAATGTAGAAGAACACCGTCCTGTTGAAAATAAAATGACTCTAATTCAAACTTCCTTTTCAAAAATTTACTTCCCCACAAAACAGAGACTTCCAGAATTTATGAGTTTTTAAAGTCTGCAAGATACAAAATGTTCCTGACTATGGAGTCATCAGTTGGACCTGTTTCTTTGAAAGCTTCAATCTATATTTACCTTTAGAATTCCGAGAACTTTTATCCAGATCAGTCGATTAAAATATAGAACTTGGTGGAATAATGCATTTCCCACCTTCAAACTCTGAAATGATTGCAGCCTGCCTTTAAGGAAATTTGTTTTCTTATGATGCACTGTTTGGAACCTTTGGTGTAGTAACGAATATTACTGAAATTCTTTCCCAACACCAAATCGTTATTTTTAACACCTCGACACGTGTTTCGATCACCAAGTGATCATCTTCAAGAGGAAGATTAAACTCTTGAAGATGATCATTTGGTGATCGAAACACGTGTCGAGGTGTTAAAAATAACGATTTGGTGTTGGGAAAGAACTCTAGTAATATTCATTAAAAATTGTTTTGTTCAAAAATCGAAATAGTACCGTGCCTATAAAAAATCTATACATAACATTATGGAAAAGAAATAAATTATTACATCAATAGCGTTGTTGTTTTTGTCTACAGTTTCCCCCAGGAAATCGAATTCCACATTTGCAGCTTTCATTGTTCGGTTGTATTTATCGAATGTGAAATAATTCAGTTTCAGGTAAGATGTATTACCACTGATACCTCTGGCATATTCGTTATTGAACCTGTAGCTGTAGTCCTTGGGATACTGAAATGAAAGAAATGAAAACAGTTAATGACATAACTGATGATTCAGTTCAATAGTTCCCAATAATTATTGAAAAATATTATATTAGAAAAAATAACATATATAAGTGAGCAGAGATATCTGATATTACCCAAATTCACATAGGTACACATACCTGTTCTTCCTAACCTTACCTAACCTAACCTCAATGATGGCAATAATAAAAATACATAATTTCATAACATGTTTCGCAAACACGACATGTTTCGCTAACACAGTAGCTTCTTCAACAGTGATTTGAATACTACAAGCTGCTAATATTTATATACGACAGGTAACTACAATTGGAACTACCTCCTTCAAATTACCTGAACTTCTACCATTCTCATACACCTGAGGTACCTACCTCTTCAATTAATTATGATTACCTGAGGCATATTTACCTCACTTCCACATCAATAATAATACTTCTTCGGTTTTTTCAAGAAAACAAGTTCAATAATGGTGATTTATTAAAATCCAGTTGGTCATTCATTATTAGAATGTTTGAATTTTCAAGTTTATTAATTTCCATTGCTTCCAAATAATTCAGTTTCAAACCTTTATTTTCTATGTGTAAAATTTCGAACTCTTCGAAAAGATAATTTGAATATGTTGAACTGGTTTTCTTATTTACATAGCTCATATGATGTTCCTGGATTCGATTTCTAAATGTTCTGCCAGTTTGACCAATATATACCTTAGGACACGTTCCACACTTTAATTTATATACTCCTGATTTCTCGAATTTGAATGTTTTGTCTTCATCATTTTTAACTAACTTTCCCAACGTATTACTTGTTCTATAAGCAATTTTAATATCTCGTTTCCTCAAAAATGAAGCTACTTTTTCCGTAGTTGTCCAAAATGCGGTAGAGCTCTATAATTTTAATTATCTAACTTATCAATAGGGAAAACGTCTCCAATCGCTTGTGCGTAGAGTTTTTTGGAAAGTAAATTGTTTATTGAGTCGGCTTTAAACCCATTGTTTACTGCAATTTGCTTGATTATATCAAGTTCTTTATTGAAATTATCTATTAAAAGAGGAACATTGATTAATCTGTGAATCTGAACGTTTCATCCTCTTGTTTGTTCTTTTATGGTCAAAAGGCCTTTTAGTACAGGTGGGTACTGTATTTGGGTTACCTAGATCAGGTAATATCCTTTGCGTTGAAATTTCTCTAGGTTTACTGTTTCTAGGAGTGTGTATTGTTTTGTGTTTTAAATGAATTATATGAGATATATGTGTGCTTTTTTCTTAAGAAACCTGCGACAACAGTGTCTCTTTTTGATCATTTGAAATGAATATTTGACACAATTTTTTGCAAAGCATTTCAATATGATTTATTTATTTCAGTATATCGATATCTATGAGTTGATATCCTTTTCATTGCAGAATAAATGATAACGATTTGAATATTCTTCTTAAAGACCGAGTACACTTTATTTTCTGCAATTTTTTCTAATTGTAAATACGCATTTTTTTACTATTATTTTTCCTCTTTTATGTAACATAGAAAACGATATTATCTAGAGCAACCTATTTGGTAACATGAAAAAAAGACTCACCCCAAGAGAAATGAGAGAGAATGTCCATATCAATTTACGAATAAAGCCGAATCCTGCCATTGTCTGAGAACGAATGAATAAAAATCATCAAATGTCGATGGTATGATGCACAGGAAATTAAAGAGCTCCTGAAATTAACTGATACGGTCTTTTATTGATTGTTCGAAATTGAATCCATTTTCATATCTGATTGGAAAATTACTTTCCGATTCAAACTATTGTCTGAGAATAATTACCAATTACCTGTAGGTAATTGTGTACATTGCCCCATCAAAATAATCATTATTAAAGTGAAACAACGTAACAAAAGTCATGATATTCTTTTTGTTTCCCTGAAAATTGCCCGAATACGTTTGTATATAATATGTAATAGTAGTAATATCATTTGTTTTCTTTATCGACAGCTGTTGACAAGCTGTCACCCCCCCCCCCCCCNCTCGTTCTTCATCTTGTCTTTTTTCTTGTTGAAATTAAAGTATATTTTGTCACATCCGATCCCATGAATTTTTAAAATCTACTTGAAACATAGTTCATCATTGTCGAAATGATCTGGGTTACTTGAATATTACACAAATGCAAAATTATCATTTGTACAATTTTCTTAGGTGCCCAACATGGTTTTCATCGACTGTATTTTTTTGAGCAGTTTATATGAATATTTGTTATGTTGAGCAGTGTTTAAACGCTTTGATTGCATGCCTGTCTTAAACTCGTCGTTTGCGCAGACCTAAGACATCGACGCGTGGGTCTGCGCGTAGGAAAATTCAAACCACAAATCAGCCTTTATGAAATTACTGTATACAAAATACTGTGACGAAATCATCAGAATACCATGTGGAATAATCCCAAAGACTATTGATTTCGTTTTTTGAACAAGAAATATGCTTTTTTATTTGTCCAATTGTTCCAAAACACACCTGAGATTTGTGATTGAGAGTGGAGAAATGATCAAAATAGAGAAGTATATGACTGAAACTCGCATCAACTCATTTATTGGTGCAATAATACCTGTGGAATTTGGGGTAATCAATTCTTTGATTTTTCAATTTTTATTAAATGACTATTAGTTAAACATAGACATTAGACAAAAATATTTTTTGAATAAATAGCCAATCACAATTAAATAATTTGTAGAAATTGATGATGAACTAATGATGTATCTGGATATGCAGGTAGCGTTTATATATGGCAATTGAAGTACCTCGAAGGCGGTAGAGAATTCGTCGGAATTCCATCGAAGCCGGTAGCGTTATTTTCGAAGCAACGCGATGTGTAGAACGGTCGCGAGCGCACTTCGAATTGAGCACGTCACAATGAACCTTTTTCCTGAAGTACGAAAAATCACTCACTAGCAGCGCTAGTAGTTGGGTAGGGACAAACACTGCCTAATCCTCATATAAACATATGGTAAAGTACAATTAAAAAATAATGTTTTTAACAGAAGAAAATGTTCCTGGAGCAACACTAAAATTTGCAACTGTAAAGGATAACATTGTTGTAACATTAAAACGTTGGCTTGCATGCCGTAATTTAAAAGTAACTGAAAAAAAAAAGAATTAATAGGCAGGTTAGTATACAGACTCTAGTAAACGAGTAGCGGTAGATTCAAACTGTAATAAAAGAAATTTAAAATAATTATGAATTTTGGACTTATTTCCGAGTGAAATATGAATCAAATATAGATGGTAATGAAATAAATTTAATTGAATATAATGAATATAATTTAATAAACGATTGAGGTTATATCTCATTCTAATCAATGGTAATTAACTATGAAAAGTTTAGAGCATATATAAGAATATTTATTCATTTTTTGTACTGTTTAATTCACTCTTCTCGAAGCATCTAACCTCATTATTATGAGGTTTTATAAATGGTATAAAAAACACGTTTTCTTCCGGATATCGATCATCTGACGTACAATTCGCAAAACAGCAATGCTTTGTTGGCATTATACTAGCACAAAATGATTTTTCATATCAGATTTTTAATTTTAAATAATAAATAAATATTACCTAAATAACACTGTTTTATATGTGAATAGTTTATTGTTTGTCCCTACTACTAGTGCTGCCTCTCGTGACACGTTTGCTGTACTATTCTCAGGAAAAAGGCTCATTGATTTATGACGTCCAGCGACGGTCGGTCTTTTCAAGGGGATGGTTTACAACCATATTTTATAATTTTTCCTCATGGTTAGTATAATTTCTATACGACACTGCAAAAGACAGATTAAGGCAAAAACCTGGAAGTTTCTATCAGTTTGCTTCCCAATCTCAACATTCACTGAAGAAATAATTTCACTATTATAAGTATTATTGCATGAAAGAATATCTTAGGTGCTGTCCATTCCTCTTTCACAGATCATATTGTTTGATCTGTGCCTCTTTTATTTCACCTTCTCTCTCTCTTCAATTTTCTATGATCGTTGCTTCTCATTCGAGCGCATTTGGCCAGGCTCCTCATGTCCATAGGAACAGAAGCTTAGTCTGGGGGCGCAGTGGTTACACACGACGCAATACTGCCACCCAAGTTTCTTATTCACTTTTTCTGAAAAAAAACACTTCATTTTTTTACTAGTCGCCTTTTCATAGGGCGACATTCCTCTGACATTAATTCATAGATCTGTTTAAAAATTTTGGTCAGATAATGAAACATTGTTAATGATCAGCCTTTATTTCTAAATATAAGGTTAGTTTTTCTATTAGTTTCATTCATTGTTTGAGTTCCAGAAAAAACGATGAAAATATTTGTTGAAAATAATTTTCGGCCAAGTGGACTATGTATACGGACTTTGGGAAAGCTGCACTTTATCAAAACTATGAAAAATATTTCCACTAAATCGAACTTATTTTTCAACCGAACCGTCAAATCTGTCATTTCCTGAACAATTCATCATCGTCAACCATGACGAAAACACACATTTCATTCCAGAATCCACAAGGATGGTTTGGAATATTTATAAAAAAGTACAAAAACTAACGGAATTCTATATTTTGATTGAACTTACTTCAAGTTGGTGCCGTCAATGCTCTCACTTCAATACTCCATCCACATTATTAGATCTATGCTCTATGTTAAAATCTGTTGAAATATGAATACCGTATTCCATTCGTCAAACAGTGCTCTTTATTTTCGCATACATTAATAAAGGATAGAAATACACGTTATAGACGCTATCGAACTGGTTGAAGGCAAGTGACAAGTGATCATCAAAAGTGGTTAAGTTTTTATTATTGATTTTGAGTTCTTTTTATCATTTCATTTCTGTACGTGTTTTATATCAAATGGGAGAACAGATGAATGCAGTTACCATTTTTGTTAAAGAAGAAGGAATAGAATTGGAACCTCCAGGTATATTGAAAGAAGAGGAGGATGAACAGAACTCCTTTTCCAACAGTGAGTTTCCTGAGGAGTTGCAGGATTTTAAAACATTACCAAATATTTTGGAACATTTGAGAGGTTGTAATAAGTCATCAACTGAAGAGGGATATCCGAAATATGAAGATGAAGGAGAAACTTCACTTGCAGATTATGAAATAAGGTAATCATATTCAGTATGATGTCAATGTTTTGTTTTGTTTTTTCTAACAAGAAAGTTACCATCATTTTATTTTCCAGAGAAGAAAACGAAAGTAATATAGAAAAAATGGAAATAAAACCTCTTCGGAAAATGTACACCTGTGAATTTTGCAGTTATGAATCGAATAGAGATCATAATTTAAAGAGGCACATGCTTAGCCATAAGGATCCCGCTGATATAGAAATGGTGACGTGTTCATTGTGTCACTATAAAACCAAACATAAAAGTGATCTCAAAAAGCATATACTCAATCATAAAAATCCTGAAGAGATTAAAATGTTCAAGTGTGAATTTTGTACCTATAGTTCCAAGCACAAAAGTTATCTTCGAAAACATTCCTTAGTTCATAAACTTCCCTCTGAGACCCCAATGTATAAGTGTCAGGTATGCATGTATGAGACAAAAAGAAAACACCTTCTTCAGAACCACATGTTGACTCACGAGTCCAAACCAGTATCTCTGAAAGCCTTGCTGAAATGTGAGCATTGTACATATCACACCGAACACCCTTCATTTTTAAGAAGGCATATGGCCAAGCACCAGATGCACAAGTGTGAATTGTGTGATTATGAGACACGGCATAGGTATTATTTGAAAAACCACATGCTCATTCATAAAAATCCTTCTGAACTGGAAATGTTTCCTTGTAAAGTTTGCAAATTCGAATTCAAGCGTGATGCAGATCTCAAAAAGCACGAAGTTTTGCACTTGGCTCCATACGAAACAGAAATATACCAATGTGACGAGTGCTCCTATACAACAAAGTTCAAAGCCTATCTCAAGAAACATGCTGTTGTTCATAAGAGTTTGTCGGAGGTAGTAAGATTCAAATGCGAGTATTGTGATTACGTGACGAAGCGTAAAAACAAAATAGAAGCTCATGTCAAAAGAGTACACAGTCATCACAATGAAGCAGAATCAGAAAAAAAAATTCTTGAGTCCAGTGATTCACCTATTTCTTCTCTGTCTTAGAATTAAGGGAACTAGCAGCAAACCGAACTACATACACCTATTAGTCTAGAGAAGAAGGAACCTGTTGAAAGAATAGATTGAAAAGTTAATGACAGCATAAAAATTGTTGTAATGGTAGAACGTATCAGACTGATTATATTTAGTTTATGATAATACAAAGTAAGGTGAAGCAGGGAGGTAAAGAATTAATTTTTTGTCGGTTCTGAAATTGTTGAGTAAAAAAGGTTCGACATAAGTGACAAGGTGATTATTATTTTTTTACGGGGCATTCATCAATCATACAATGAGAAAAACAACTTGTAGAAACCTTATAATTAATATGATAAGTGTTGTTAGGTTTATACCCGTTGAATATATCTGTCAAAGATCATGGTATGGCGCTCTGGTTGGTTAGAGGTAAGATTGCAAAATTGCCAATTTGTCACCTTACATTACGTTTCTTTATTGTCATTACTTTACCTTTTGTTTTATCTTGAATGCAAGTATGGTATCTGAATTGTTAAATTTGGTTACCATACTTTAATTACCTAATGTTTTCATAAACTAGACGCAATAGCAAAATAAATTTAAATCGATTCAAGATAGTGGGAAAGAAATTGGAGTGAACTGTTGAAAAGGGTAGAAAAAATTGGACCTGTAACAGAAAAAATAAAAGAGGATATTTGACTTTTTGTGAGCTTGAAAAAAAAATTCCTTATTAGTTCATACAGGTAAACCAACAAAAACGTTGAAAATATTCAAAATGCATCTAAGTTACATTTAAATTGTTTATTTCTTCGAGAAATTCGAATTGAGAGGATTTTGTAACCCGAGATTATTGGTATTGTAGAAATTCCACATATTTTAATTGAAAATGTATTTTTGGGAAAGAAAGGTTTTGGCTCTCCACTTTTCCATCTTTATACAATAAAGGGGAAACTTCCAAAGAAAGAAAGAAAAAAAACAATTAATTTCAAAAAACTCATTCACGAAAATGTGTATCATATATATAAAAATGGATGTTTGTTGGTTGGTTGGTAAGTGATAAACTTCTACATCGTGATGAAACTTGACATGTTTAAGTAATTTTTCATAGAGAAGGTTTTTAGGCCATCAGGTTTTCTGTAACTCGCAGCTAGATGGCGGTGTAGAACAATTTTTTGAAAGCACTGTTCTGTAACGCTGCGCACGCCTAAGTTCGTTGATTCTGATTCTGTCAAAACATTGAAACAGCAGCAATACACCAGCATAGTACTAGTATCATATAAAGAAGTAACTTTCAGACACAATCTGGAAGAAAAAGCCCTTTTGAAACAACTACTGTCATATAAATATTGAATTACACGAGAGAAAAATTACTTTTGAAACATTTACTTTTATATAAACATAAAGTTACACAAAAAACACAAAAATTTATTGGAAATGTAATAAATCAATAAAGTGAAATGTCAATAATATAGAAAAAATAAAGAAAAATTTATAAAATAGGGTTTTTAAATTTATGATATTCCATCTGTTAACTAACTTTCCAGAATATTTCGATCCTTTCTTTGTTATTTTGTATTTCAAATCTGTAAAAACTTTTTGGGTAATATATTTTTTTCTACTGTATTTCAAAAACGTCACACTTTTCTAGGCATTGGAAGTCCAAACCTACAACAGTAAATTTTGAAAAAATTCAATCATAACAAACTTTTCTTTGTTTTTCACATTTTCAACATTAAATAAACTGCCTGAAAGATGTTACAATGAAAAATGATAACTGCCGATATTGAAAGAAAACTGTTTTTAGCACACTGGTATAATGATTAGGGGTATAAAAAGGTTTTCACCAAATGTAAGAAAGATTTTCGTGGGGATTAAATAGTTCCGACTACAATTGTAAATCTTTTTATTATTTTCAACTTTTATTTTTCGGTTTTTATGACAACAGGCCTGGTGTCCGTAGAAATTGTGTAGAAACCATTTTCCACGTATAAAAGTTCATACTATTTCATTCCTCTCAACTTGTATTGACATTAAAGTATTTTATTCTTCCTGTTATCTGTGATATTTCGAAGATTGAGTTTTTTTTATTGACTCAGCCCCTACTTGATGAAGATCCATAGTAATTTTATAAACCACACCAGAAAAGATTTGATATTCACAAACTTTATTTTCAAAAATATCACTACATGTTTCACTATGTCAGTAACTTTTTCTTTGCGAATAACATACTGAAAACTGATCCTGCACTCTAATTTTTATATAATTATGATTGATTACATACTTGAGCTACTGTGATAGCAAAACATGTGATATTTTTGGAAATCAAGTTTGGGAAGATTAGGTCGTTTCCGGTGCAGTTTGTGAAATAGTTCTCTGTTGATCACATAGATGGCGTCTTCGTAAGGGGAGATGTCATCGCCCTTTCTTACTCTGGCTTGTCCTTTAGAACAGTTGAGAGCAGCAATGCATTTGTGGTTCAGCCTAGTACCTATCACTGATTGAGATCTATGGCAATTCGAAACAGCGCTGTCTGGTGTTCAATCATAAATGCGTTGTGTTTGGGCTCTGGTTTTCAACTAGTTGCCTTGCAGTGAAAGACAGAAGTCGAATCTTTTTGGCGGTCGATGTCGTTTATTTTTGGTATTCGGGAATTTAGTTCTCTGTCGTTCCCATAGATGGCGTCTTTGAATATTTTCAACCTCTCTAAAATTTTTATGTTGTTATTAATTTTTATGATTAGGTCCATATGACCTTAGTTTGCTTATATAGATCATTAGTTTCCTTTCCACTGAATCATGAAACAAAATGAGGGGTATCTATGCTTTGTCGATTACACTCTGGCTCTGGAAAATGCTACAATGTTGAAAAAAAAGTATGACTAAGTAAGTGATTCAGAAGATATTGCAGATGACTAACCAGTAAGAACTAGAAAAAAATATTGATTTTGAAAAACATGATGGCTTTGAAGATTTATTTTTTCTGAATCTTATTTATCAAAGAGGTGGAAACTAATGGAATATCGAGTGTTTATTCAATTACTGTGATGAGTGTGAACAAAAATTCTGTAAGAATGAATTTTAATAAATTATGCAACTCAATACATTTTTTTAAGCATATGATTTTTTTTTATTTAAATGACAATTTTGTATACATTTTGAAATCTGATGAATCAATTTTTATGTATTAAACAATAATCCAGTAATATTTTGTTTTCTAGCAGAAACCTGATGTGAATCACCCTTATATTGCAATACATTTAGTCTTATCAAGGATTATTTGTAATAGTATATATGCTCAAGAAGTTATGGGGGAAGGAATGGGAAAAAGTTTATAAAACCAATTATAATTTTGAAATCTGATGAATTTATTTTTATGCATTAAAAATAATCCAGTAGTATTTTGTTTTCTAGCAGAAACCTGATGTGAATCACTCTTATATTGCAATACATTTAGTATTTTCAAGGATTATTTGTAATAGTATATATGCTCAAGAAGTTATGGGGGAAGGAATGGGAAAAAGTTTATAAAACCAATTTTAATTTTGAAATCTGATGAATCAATTTTTATGCATTGAAAGTAATCCAGGAATATTTTGTCTTCTAGCAGAAACCTGATGTGAATCACTCTTATATTGCATTACATTTAGTCTTTTCAAGGATTATTTGTAATAGTATGTATGCTCAAGAAGTTATGGGGGGAGGAATGGGAAAAAGTTTAGAAAACCAATTTTAATTTTGAAATCTGATGAATCAATTTTTATGCATTAAAAATAATCCAGTAATATTTTGTTTTCTAGCAGAAACCTGATGTGAATCACTCTTATATTGCATTACATTTAGTCTTTTCAAGGATTATATGTTATAGTATATATGCTCAAGAAGTTATGGAGGAAGGAATGGGAAAAAGTTTAGAAAACCAATTTTGATGGTTACAAAACCAAGTTTTAATAATGACTGAAAAATGTATGTGTAGTGGACCATGTCCGATATTTTACATGAGTCAAACTGGAAGTACATTCAATACAATCAACCTACCTACTCACTTCCTTATAGTGGCACTGAGTTCAACCATTAATTCAAAATACTTTATTTCCAGAAGAACGGTTCGAAAATTGATTTTTTTGTGGAGTATAGAAATGAATACATTTCAAAATTCCCAGTATCCTATGAACAACCAAAGTGATTTTGATTAGTCCTAATGATGCGCGTTCAACTGAATTCTGTTAGTGTTGTTGCTGAATGTTGTAATAAAAATACTTGAAGTTAATTACAACTTTATTCTGAACCACGAGGAAAATTATGATTTTTCAAAATATATCTTACTAAATGTACTGAATTAAACTGTGAATACACTTTCAGCCGACTGAAAAAGCAAAATCATTTTTGTACCTTCAATTAAGATAAAGCGAATCAGGGCCGTCGCCATGGGGGGATGGGGGGAGCCTTCCCACCTCCTTTTTCCACTTGGGAAAAAGTTGGGAAGTTTTGGGTCATGAAGATATAAAAAAATTATAGTAAAAAAATGAATAAAAATTAAAAAAATAAAAATGGTAGAAAAGAAAAGGAGAGGTAATAAGAAATGGGAAAGGACCAGGAGAAGGTTGGGATTTCCCAACATGCATAACTTGAAGATAATTCTGAGTTGTTTGAAATCTTCAAAAAAGTTAATTTCCCAAGTAAGAAAACAGTCCACAAATTTTGTGGACTGTTTCCACAACAATTTTTTAAAATCGCCAACTTTTCGCTCTTTTTCCGACTTGGAAAAGTTGGGAAATTTCGGGCCGTGAAGATAGAAAAAATAATAGTAGAAAACAATAAGCACAATATTATTTAAGTTTTGTTTCCTTTCATTTGTATTGAATATTCCTATACATGGTGGACATGGTGGAAGACCAAGGACCTTGGTCCAAAGTAGAATAATTACCATTATTATTTTTATAATCACCAACATTAATTTTGTTTGTGCATACCCTAACATGCATAAGCATTCAGCCAATCTTTGGATAGTTAAGTAAAAAAAAATATATTATAGTAGTAACTAATCCCTCGGCTTTCATTTCTTCGAAAGTTGGGAAATTTTTCTGGTGGGGTTTGAAAAATTTGGATTCCCTTCTCCCCCTGGTTTTTCTTTTCGCTACGGCCCTGATGCGAATGTATGATTTCAGGAAAGATAATTATTTATTTGTGCAAAATTTCTCAATATAGGTAGGTACTTAAATTACCATTTTGAATGACCTAATCGATATTCTTTGCAATTACATAACCCTAGTTTCTAATGTAAGCACTATCTAGGTTAAAATTTCATATCTGTAGAGGAACTGATTATGACTGGTTTAAACTAAAACAAAAAAATCATTAGCCGCAACTTCTAGATTTGTGTATACCAGGTAATAACATAGCCCCTCCTAGAATGTTTACTATAATTCATTAATTTACTATAATCATTACTATAATCATTAATTTATTGACCTGTTTTTACTAGGGCTCAGCTTGATAGAAATCAGCCCTTTATGTGTGGCTTTGCCCTCAAAGGATAACCCAACTATCGACGTCACACAAACCACCAAATGTTAATACGTTGGTTTTGTTCTCCACCTCGTTAACTGGAAACCATGCACCATTATTTCGTCTCTTAGTATAACGTCTTTGTGCCAAGACGTAATGGTGACAGGTATATAGTGATTTTTCATCGTTACAGTGAT